CTGGCTAGCAACAACGTGAATGCTACACATCATGTAAAGGGGGAACTATCACACAAGTCTCACATGGCTACCTAGGTTCTCAATCATTCGTTCTAATCCCCTAAACGCGATGCATAGGCAACTGTGAAAAGCGAGTAATCGATTCAAAACATCTATCGGTTCACAAACATATGAGAAATGAATCTATGCACAAATCTAATACATGTCTTAGTCATCATCATAGGTTGCACAAAATCACAAGCAAATCATCCATTGACCATGCTAATAACCATGAGATTCAAAACAAATCGCCACAAGATGCCTCTATGATCATAAAAATGTAGAAGTTGTTATGTTTGGAACCCTCAAATTTTCAAAATTTTGGGCATACATCTAGGATCCAAAGCATTCGAAAACACACCAAATATTCACACAAACATGCATAATAGACTACCCCCCACACTTAAGCTCGACATTTCCCTCAGTGGCGTAAAATAAGGGGTAGAACGATGTTATCGGATAGGGGTGAGTGTTGGTGTTTGGGAGCGGAGGTCGGGAGAGATCCGGAAGAGCAAGGAGACGGAAAAACACCACCAATAGATCTCAAATGGTCTTCTTATTGAATGGAAAAGAGATGCAAACAGTTGATAGTGAGGTTGCCTCCCACCAAGCTCTTCTTTAACGTCGTGAGCCGAACGGTTGCTCTTCAAGTTTCGGTCCACCCAAGAACCTCCTTGAATTTGAGGTTCTCGTCGGTGAGTTGGTGTCTCAAGTCATGAGAATTGAACGAATCCATGATTGGGGGCTCGTGAACTTGAGTTGTGTTAGGCTCCACCCACGAGACCTCTTCTTCTTTCCTTATTCCTTCTTCTCTTTGCCCCACACCATGTAGACCAAACTCACTTTATTTCCATCTCATCCACCAACGGGGAACGCCGATGGTGTTGCCTTGGCTTGCCAAATAGCCGCAAATGGGTCCTTCTCAAGTAGCGTGTCGAGGTCGGGTGGAAAGCTTTCATAGCCCTCGTAACTTGTGGATGCTTCATCCACATCGACCTTGTCCTCATCTTGGAACTCACTTGCTCCTTCTACTTCAAACTCAACCTCCCTTCCTTCTTCTTCAATTTCCTCCCGTTGGGAAGAATCAGGATCTTCCTCCTCTTCAATGTTCACTTTTCCCTCTTCAGCCTCTTCTTTCTCCTTCCCATTCATGTCTTCAAGCACGGTTTGGAGGGCAAGGTGCCATGCAAGATCGTCAAAAGTATTCTCTTCCTCCTCCACAAACGTGACTTGGTCTTCAAAGTTGGTCTCGAGAAGGGGAAAGTGATGAGTTTCGTCAATGCAGCCTTCTTGTTCATACTCACCATAGGAGCTCTCCGGGGTGAGTTTATCTTGCTCCACATGGTTGTCATTGATCTCTCTTTCAACCTCCTCTTTCTCCTCCAATAATGAGAGACAATAGCTTTCACAAGCTTGTGCCACTTTCTCTTATAGTGTCAAACCGGGAGGAGGGAGGGGTTGGAAATCCATGCTGAAGCTCGTTCTTCCAAAATTCTCATGGATCGCCTCTTCGACTTCCTCTATTTCTTGCAATGGTAGGAGGTGATTGTGAGAAAGTTGTGCACATGCTTGCTCTACAAGTCCTCCTAGCCTCTCCGTGCGACGAAGGAGCTCCTCGGATTCTCGAAGAAAGGTTGAGTCGATAGTGCTGGTGATGGGAAGGTCCAAATTGGAGCATCCCTGGTCGGTACCCCGAGAAAATTTCTCCACCATAAGCTCCCAATTTCTCTTTTGCTTTATTTGTGGAGTGTCACATGGTCTTGATGATTGTCCCATGAAGGCTTCCATGGCCAACTCCAACTTGGATTTCTCCTCGGGTTGTGGTGGGAAATCTTCTTGATATGGGGAAGCATCTTCATATCCCCAATGGTATGGTTGTTCTTCTTGGAAGGGGGATTGGTAATAGAACCCGGATCCTTGGCTTCCCCCTTCTTGTTTACTCCATGAAGCTCCGGGGTAACACCATTCAGGTGGTTGTGGATACCCACGCATATTGTAGAAGCCATTGGGATCCATGATTCATAACATACACAAACAAAAACATAAAAATAAAATCAAACAAACACAAACCACCCTTCTAAGAGAAGAGTGGGTAAACAAAACACAACATGAAACACAAAACAGCTAAATTAACAACCTAACCCTTTTTCAAATAACCTAGAATGGTTCCCCAGCAACGGCGCCAAAAACTTGACTCGTTCTAACTAGAACATCCCAATCGACAGCCAAGTATAACCGCCGACCGGGTGTAGCATAGGCCAAGCAAGCAATATGAATTTATCGTAACACGGGGATCTAGGCTTACCCTAATTCAGGTTTAGGGTTCGTTATCTAGCCAACCTAGGATAGTGATTGATAGAGTTAAACTAACTAACCCAACTATTGACAAGGTTTGGAGCTCTCTTGGGTTGAATCATCATAGGTCCTTTCTTTCGATCGATGTTGGGTATCCTCCTAGCTCGATCGACTCAAATACACTACCGTTTGAAGATGGACTCCCTAGGGAATGACCCTGAGCGGTGAATCGATGGATGGGTAGTGCTCTCTTCAACCTAGGGTTTCGTATGATGGTAGGACCGGTCCAATCAACTCCCTCGGGGACTACCCGGACAATATACGATAGGAGTGACCCGAAGACGCCAAAAGGGGCTCTAAGGGTATTATCTCCCTCCTAGGTTAAAAGCTCAATACATGAAAATGGAAACCCAACTCATGCCATTCATGAAAACATCCATCAATTAAGTAAAATCATCAATCAATCATGGACTTTGTCACATACATAAACATTAAACCCAAATCTATACCTAGGGTTCTGAAAAGCAAGAAAAGAGGGTGAGTTTCTAGAGAGAGAAGAGAGATATTACAAAGTGCATCCTTGTCTTCAAGGTCAACCCAAGTCTCCAATTAAGCTCCAACGTCACCCCAAGCCTCAAATTAAGCTCCAATGTCACTCAAGCTCACACACACTCTCTCTCTCACACTAGAACTCCCCTTCGGTGTTTTGGGCTCAAAACCTAGAGAAAGAAACCAATTCCTCTCCAAAAACCAGGTCCCCCTTCTCTCTCCCGCTGTTATCTTCATATTTGCCCGAAAGTGACCAGTTCACGGCTGTGAACACCTAAACGCATCCGTGAACTCAGTTTCGTCTCCAAAACGCACCGCTTCACTCTCCTGGGTTCACTATTTGTGCTCCAAGTTCACAGTTTTAGAGACCGTGAACTGCCTTGTCGTCACTAACTTATGGAACCTCGTTGGACGCCACGGGGTTCACGGTTTTTGGTTCCAGTCCACGATCTTTGGAGACCGTGAACTGCCTTGTCTGACCATGAACTGCGACTGCTTCCTGGCTGCTTGCGCTTCACTCTCGACCCATCCACACGTGCTAGGACCTGAAATGTATCAAAACGAGGACAACCTAGCGTAAAATATGTTGAGGAACGATGATTTACTAAGCTAAGCGAATAAGAAATGAGGGGTAAAATGTGTATATTTGGGCCCGAATCACCTATGTTACATGTGATTTCTCCACCAAATTTCGAGGAGCTGCTTGGCAAATACCCATGTCTCTTTGCCAGACCAAGGCTACATCGACATCGGTCCCTCTTGGTGCACGCGATGGTGGTCAATCGATGCTATCCTATCTGGTTTGGGGCAATGAGACGAGAGAGAGAGAAAGAGAATAATAGGTCTCGAGAGTTGAGACTTCATCTAACTCAAGTACACAAGCCTACCCCACTTGATGTACCACATGTTCATACTTGAGACTCCACCTCATCAACGAGAAAATCAACTTCAAGGAGGTTCTGGGGTGGACCGAAACCTAGGAGCCATCGTCCAGCTAACGACGTAAAAAAAGCGCTCGTTGGGAGGCAGCCCAACCATTGGGTTTTTTTCTCTTTCCTTATTTTCCTTCTATTTTGTGTTTTTTGGTTCACCCTTGTTGTCTTTTGTTCTGCTTATGTCAGAGACCGTCTCGCCCTACCTCCCCCTGCTCTGCCTTCCAATTGCCATTCCCGATCGTCATTTCCACGTAACATCGTTCCCCTTCCCTATGCTCCATTGAGGGCATATGTTTTTGTTCCACTGCCCAAATCTCGAGATTTGAGGGCTCCAAGTACTGATGTTTGCATAATTATATTGGCACTGTGGTTTATGTGGTAAATTGATTGGTTGTTAACATTGGTGCATTATTTTTAGTAACCCACACATACAATAGCCCTAAAACAATGTTTTAGGATGAAGGTGAATAATTTTATTACTGAAGATATATAAAGATAAAACAAGCAAAATGTATAGATCAACCTAAAGAATTATTATGCAACAATCTGCTTGTATTCCTTATGATGCGAGATTGTAATCCGGATACTTGTAGTAGTTTAGGAATGAGTCGCATGTAGAACTGGCAAATTACAACCCGATCCGAAACGACCCAAAATAAGAAACTTTTGTAACCCGAAATCCGAATGATCCGAACCCGATAACCCGTTATTTTTTGGGTCGGGTTGTGTGGGTTAGTGGGTCGACCCGTTAGACCGGTTCCATTTTATATATCACATCCGAAATAGGATAAAATCACTCATAAATTGGTGAGATGTTTTAAAAAATCACAAGGATTTGAATGACATGTTTAGAGTTTAAGTATAATAAAATATCATGTGTTTCTTCTAGTAGTATTACTCTTGTGATTGTTTTTTTTTTTTGACGATTTGCGCAATCTGTATTTCATTTCATTAGCGTGGGAGGATTTGAGAATATGTCATGTGTTAGGTAAACTATAGTCATGCGTATGTGAAAATTTTTGTTTATTAAGAAAATATGAAACATGTTTGATATTGTTTCTAAGAATGCTCGTAACCCGAAATTACCTGTAACCCGACCCGAAATCGAATGGGTTGGTTGAATATTTGACCCTAAATTAGTCAACCAAACATGACCGAACCGTAATCGAAGTCTCCAACTCGACCCGATTTCCAGGTCTATTCGCAGAAGAAATTGACTTATGATGTTGAAGAGGAGGAGGAGGAGTCATGTGGCATCCTCATTACACTCGTCAGTACATTTGATCCAACAGTCATGGAAGGACACATCCGCTTTTGCTTCTTCCCATGACCCAACCATCATCATCATCATAATCACAACACTTAGCATCACTGACATGCTACGACACAACACCAAACTGCGACCAAGTGTAATCGCAGAAAGGAAATGCAGAATAGTGGCAAGTTAACTTTATCAACCCGTGAATTAGATCTACTGCAACCTTTTGATTAAACTATGGAAGATCCGACAGTATCTTGGAATCTCTTACGCTGACCAAGCCCTCTCAGACAGACTACCCGGTAGACGACTAGTCTTTACCGGGATAGAACGCTGAGGCAATAAACACACAACTCCACTGTTGTAATTGGAATCCAGTACAAAGCAGTGAATCGATTAACTCTCGTATAACCAATTCACTACTACCGATTGATGAAGCTCTAACAACATAATCAGATTCTATCTATCTCAGGTTGTAGCAGAAATCAAGAAAAGTTGATCAGGCTTCAATTGACTCAATGAATCATGCATCAATCAATTATAATCACACAGTATAGCATCCAAAAGTCATTACAACATTAATCCCTAACACATGGAATTAGGGTTCTTTATACCCAAGTGAGAGAGGGTTCTACTCCATAGAGAGAGAGAAAGAGATAGAGAGGAAAACAGAAATACAAAGCAGTCATACTCATAATGATGGGAAGAATCGTCTTTGGGATGATAATCTTCTCTCCAAGGATGAAATCCAAGCTTGATTGATGAAACCCAACTCCAAAATCACTCCAAGGGTTTGTTCTTCGTACTTTCTCTCTCTAGGACTATGTTTTTGCTCTAAAAGTTCGTCTCCCTCTTCAAAGACCCGAAATTGGGTTAAAACCCAGAATTCCACGACCACACGGCCATGTGGAATCCCCAGTCTGCCCATGTGGAATCCAAAACGTGGCGTTTGATTTAAGTGACGGAAGGTACGTTACACGGCCAGAATTGCACGGGTGTATAGAAATATGGCTTGCTCGTGCGAACTCTCTTGAAATCGCGCACGGCCAAAAGTGGAACTTACACGGCCAGTATGGCTTGTCCGCATAAAGAAGTGCCACACGGCCAAGTCACACGGTCGTCTAGAATCTGGCCTGGCCGTGTGGCTTCCTCAGCTTCTCGCCAATCCTCCCAACTTCGTCCAATCGGCCCCGAACTCGTGCCCAAACCTTCATTCACGTACTAGGTGATATGATCCCAAATCACAACCAAATTAAGCTTCCATGGAGTGATCAAGAAGCTAGCTCAATACACAACAACCACCCTGAAAAATGGATAAGTCTTTTTTTGTTTTGTTTCAGGGTACCATATTGGAAGGCTTGGATCAGAAGATTTGCTCCATGAAACGGAGTGTGTAATAGCTTGTTTTGAAGCTATGGATTTCTTCTACAACGATAATTGCTTGGTGGCTCAAGGGGAGTCAAGAAGGTTGATTTTGAAGTAATACGACCCTGGGGGTGTATTTTTACCAAAGTCACGCAGCAATCAATCAATCTGTAGATTGATTGAACTCGAATTAAGAACAACGCGTTCTTAATAAGAAATTGGGATAAAACAAAACCAGCGGACAATTCCATACCTGGCGAAAGCTCGTATGGTATAAAAGGGTAGCTGCTCGACCACGATTGAAGAGAATATTCAATCGATACAAAGCGCGTATGGTAAAAAAGGGTAGCTGCTCGACCACGATTGAAGAGAATATTCAATCGATTGAATTCGTGTAAAACAAGGTAAGTTGCAAGTCAAGAAACTGACTTAAAACACAAGCAAGTCTGCCTAGAAAAACAGGCTTCATAGCATCTTTGAGCCCTTCGAAAATGGTCTTATACGTTGATTCGAACTCCACCAGTTCCTTGACATTGTATAAGAAAACTCCTTCTTTCACCTCGAACTTGAACCAGCCTGATATCATGCTCCAAAATCCAGATATAGGCCTTCAAAGTTGGTATCCCAAAATAGGTTTTTGCCTTAGCCAAACTTAGGCAGTTTTCCTGTTTTGAGGTAGCCTTTTGTTGGGCTTTGAAAATGACCTTCCAGACATCTTCTGGATCCACAAAGCATACCATTGGAAAGATGACAAATTTATTTTCAAAACAAGGCCCTGATCTCCTAATTTTATTGAGCCATTTATGAGATACAAGCTTCCAAAATAGGCTACCTGAAACTGTTTCAACACTTAGCCAAAAATAAGAATTCTTCATGTAAGTTGAGATGGCTTCTTTGACAAGTAATTGTGAATTGTGTATTGATCCAATTGGGATCATATCAGTCTCCCCCTCTTCAAAAAGCTTTGACCTAAAAACTTGAAGCTGCTTCCTGTCAAAAACTTCACAGAATTCCTCCCAAATCGAGTCACGAAATAGGTACCACGAACTTGCAATGTTGAACTTCAACACTTAGTTAACTTGCGAATTGGTTGCTATTTCCTACAATTTAAGTTCCATGATGTTCGTGGGACTCCAATGGAACTTTTCCACGCAAAAAGTATGCTCAAACAAACGCAAAACTCGTCGCTCAAATTTTCCAGTTTCCAGCCAAAAATTTGCAGAATCCGTCGGTTCTTCAAACTCCGGCGAGGGCTCCAAAATTGGGTGTTTCTCTTCTAGACCCCACTATTTAATTCTTCACTTCCAATCGATTCGCCTGGCTCCCATGATTCGTTTAAAACCATTCCCATGCTTCGATGCTCTCTAACGCGTCACCAATCATTAGCATCGACTTTCCCGCCACCTGAAATTCGAATTTCCCAGAATCTGGCGAGCAAAACCCAGATTCCGGCGAAGCAAAATAAAAATTGGGCGTTTGAGTATCTGGCCACTTTGCTTCCAATTGACGACTCGTATAGCTTCCTTGAACCTGCCCGAACTTGCCCATAGTCTCGTTTTCGCTCGTTTCGCGTCCAATCTCTCCAATCGATTCTTCCTTGTCTTCTCCAAACTTTCGGCAAAAAAATTCGGAATTGGGCATTGTTGATTGGAATGATTTCGGATAAAATTGACGACTTCCATACTTTCCATGGACATTATGGAACGATTCTGAATTGGAAATTTTGCTCGAATCAGGCCCGATCCTTCCAACCCATTCGCTCGCAGTTTGCTCGTGTTTGAGCGTTTGCAGGGTTGTTTGAGCTCGATCTCGATGCGGCAAATTAGGTGTAGTCGACTCCAATAGGCCTGTGGATGAGCTTCTCGATATAGAATCGATCGTGTCCGGAGTAGTGGTTGAGTTTGGATCTCCTTCCAGTGTTCCACCCCATTGTCTCCATCTCTCTTACTCTGCTACATTGTTACCGGCGAACAGAGTTCTGGAATGCTTGTAGTTGGAGGCGTTCGATCAATGACAGCCCACTCTGGAGCTTTCTCTTCACTCTTCGTCGTTCCGCTATCCTCTTGGAAGGCTTCTGTGGTGATCCCGGGTTTCCACTGTCCTTCTTCTTCCTCGTCAAGGAAATATGGCACGGAGCTCTGTTTTGCGGGAACAGAACAGGGTACGTTATGGGCAGGGGTTACAGGTAAGAAATCTTCATTCTGAGGCTTCCTGAAGATCATAAAATTGAACCCAACAATCCTTTGAACCCACAATTGAGCTCTAGATTCTTTTCCCGACACTCGATTTGATTCCAATTGCTTTTGATCTTCGTATACTTCATTCGGGGAAAGAGGTTTCAACATAAAATTCTTACCTTGGTGCCGAAACTTGTAACAATTCATCCATCCTTCATGGGTAACCTTTCGATCGAATTGCCAGGGACGGCCAAGCAATACGTGAGCTGTGTGCATTGGTGCAACGTCACACAACACCTCATCCTCGTACTGTCCAAGATTAAAACGAACTAACACTTGTTTCGTCATATTGATCATTCCATGTCCGTTGATCCAACTGAGTTGGTAAGGTTGGGGATGTTTTTGAGTTGTCAATCCAATCCTCTTGACGACGTTGATAGACCGATAATTACACGTATTTTCACCCCTATTCTTGAGCCGTTTGAGAGGTTGATTCTCGGGTTTTAAGCTGATTTCACGCGAGGTTGAGTGTTTATGTCATATTTCAGGACCCGGCGTTGGAATCGCGGCGAAGGAACGAGATTCGGGTCGAAAGGAGCAAGTGAGGCTTGAAGCGGGCTGAAGGAAGAAAATACCCGGCCATAACCACAAATACCCGGCCGGGTATTATTCTGAGGAGACCGGGGAATTCCCTTTTTGGCGTCTGAGAAACAGAGGGGGCCCCGGTCGTGGAGCTTAAATCCCCGACCGGGGATTATTGGAGCAGACCGGGGATTTTCCCCTGGCATGAAACGTGCGTTTTGATAATACCCGGTCGAGACCCAAAATACCCGACCAGGTATTTCGACCGGGTATAGCGACAGGCTGCTGTTTTAAGGGAAAAGAGGGCTGAAAATCAAGGGATTCGAGTTTTTGAGAGATAGAACGATTCCTAGAGAGAGAAAGCGACGAACAAGAGTCTCCAAGTGCCCTAGATTGATCTTCAACACCATTGGAGGCCAGTTTGAGCTTGGAGAAGTGCCGATCAACATCCAGGAGCAAGAATCCATCCTTCACAGTATGAATTCCGCGTCTGATTCTGCTTTTGCTTCTTTCTCCATGGAGTAGTTCTCCCATTCATCTGGGTATGGAGAACCCTAGATTTGTATGTTAGGTTTGATTGTATGAACCCAAGTACTGATTCTATGATTTGATTATATTCGTTTGAGGTTTGAATGATTGAATGACTTGAATCCTGATCAAATTCCTGTTGTTTCTGCTTTGACCTAGAATGAGAATATCTGCCTAGGTTGATAGAGCATCCTTGATTGAAGGTAGGGAGTTGGTGACTTTAGTCGAGGAGCCAACTCACTATTCTGTACTGGATTTACTCCGGTAGTGGAGGTTTTGTTCGTTAAGGCCTCAATCTGTTTACTCCGGTGTAGGTTAGTCGCCCGCTAGAGACTCAGATTGAGAGGGTCTGAAGACCTTTAGTCGAGACTTCAGGTTGTTTAAGAACCTTCCGCAGTATAACTTTCATAGAAACTGAACTTGGTAATTACAATCCGGCTTAACTGCAGTCTAGGGGGAACCATATCCGGGTGACCTCTGTTAACCTGAATACAACCGTTTACTTGCTTTGTTAGTTTGTTAGTTTAGACTTGCATTAAAGTTTCATTGCTAGATAACAAGAATTCACTGAGTAGTCATCAAATCTAGGACCCGGGTTGAAAATTAAACCCAAACCCGCTATACTACGCTTTAGGAAGTGGTTTCACTTGGCTAATTCCTGGAGTGACAGTAGAAGTGAGTCAAGTTTTTGGCGCCGTTGCCGGGGAATGGCTAGGTTGTTGAAGAAAAGTGATTTCTGTTAATTTAGCCTTTCTTTTTGCTTTGTTTGCTTTGTCCCACTTGTGCCTTCACTGGTTTGCTTGCTTGAGTGTGTGCAGGTAGTGCATGACCCATAGCCAGTCGGGAGGTTTACTGCCGTTGAATCAAGAGATTGAACGCACCTGTCGCCAACTCAGGAGACAACAGCGAGCTAGACTGGCTACGGAAGAGCGCCTAGACGGCCACTTGAGTAGCGATTCTGAAGAAGAGTACGGGATGGACGGAGACTACAATCTGCACAAGGGGAATCCTCAGCAGGCTCCCCCGGTGAATCAGGTCCTGGGGAACAACCCCATACCCCAGGATCATGGAGTTCATCATCCACCGCAGCCGGGTCCCACCTTGGAGTACTACTACACTCCTCGGATTGCTGACATCCGCCCAGTCATCCTCTACCCGCCTATTCCAGCAAACAACTTTGAGATCAAGCCATGCTGGATTCAGCTCATCACATCCTCTATCCAGTTTCATGGCTTGAAGGATGAGGAGGCCAGGGTACATCTGTCCTGTTTTCTGCAGCTGACAAACGGGTTCAAGCTGAACGGTGTTCCTGATGATGCAATCCGCCTTCATCTCTTCCCCCATTCTCTGGCGGGGAATGCTAAGAGGTGGTTGGAGACCCAGCCCCCATTGTCCATCACCTCTTGAGACGATCTGGCTGACAAATTCGTGCACAGGTACTATCCGGCATCGAAGACTACAGAGATTCAGCGGGAGATCACTCACTTCCGCCAAGAGCCAGATGAGTCACTTCGTGATGCATGGGAGCGGTACATGGGATATTTCTGGCAGTGTCCCCATCATGCCTTTAGTGATGCATTCACAGTGGGGAACTTCTACAGCGCTCTCTCCAGATAGCCAGAGGGTGATTGAGTCTCTATGCCCAGGAGGGGATATTCTCACTAAGACTCCACCCGAGCTGAACCAGATGATCAGTACTTTGGCTGCCAGAGATCATTCTTGGGGACAGGGTAGCCGAGGCAGACAGTCCCGGGACCGTGGTGTGCACGCCATGGAGACCTGATCCAGGCTCAAGCAGCAGGTAGCTGAGCTAGTGCAGACATTGAAGCAGCCCAACAGTCTTATTCCGGGCAGAGGTTTGGCTACACCTCCAGTAGCTCAATGTCAGTGGTGCGAGAGCTCCAATCACCTAGTGGAGGAATGCCAGGCTATGAGGGAGTCTACCACTCCCCAAGAGCAGTTGGACTTCATCGCCAATGCTCGGCGCCTTGACCCGTACAGCAGCTCATATAATGAGGGGTGGCGTCAGCATCCCAACTTCGCCTGGAGCAGCAACACCACTAAACCACCTGGTCTCCCAGCACCAGCAGGTGGTTTTCAGCAGAGGCAGCCCTTCTAGGCTCGACAGGGGCCATCCCCACAGCAGCAGCCCTACCAGCCTAGGCAGGGGCAACCATTCCAGCAGCCCCAGCGCCAGTTTGCCGAGCCAGCAGTAGCTCCAGCCCCAGATGACTGGATGACAAAGCTGGAAAATATTCTAGCTTCATTCATGACTAGCACTCAGCCTGCTATCACGTCACTGGAGGCAGGTCAGCGGAACCAGGGTGCCATTTTGCAGGATCTGCAGACCCAGGTGGGCATCTTGGCCCGCCAAAACACCACCAGGGCACCGGGGACTTTGCCTGCCACCACTATCCCGAATCCTCGGGATCCTCACCAGCTCCAGCAGCTGGATGCCATTTTTACCAGGAGCGGTAAGACCATATCTGCTTATCCTGTCCCGGCCAGACAGGAGGAACCACTACCTGCTTCAGCACTTCCAGCCGACGATGCAGAAGTGCGGGTGGAGAAGGAAGCCCCTGCTCCAAAGCCACAACCACTGGTTAAGGAGCATGTACCCCAGCTTCCCTTCCCCACTCACTTACACAAAGACAAGCTGGAGACTGAGTTTGCCAAGTTTATGGCAATGTTGAAGCAGCTCAACATCAGCATACCGTTCGTGGAGGCACTGTCGAAGATGCCCAAGTATGCCAAGTTCATGAAAGATCTCCTCACCAACAAGAAGAAACTTGGGGATCTCTCGACAGTGTTGCTGAGCGAGGAGTGTTCTGCTATCCTGCAGAACAAGCTGCCCGAGAAGCGCAAGGATCCAGGGAGTTTTACTATCCCTCTTACTATTGGCAGCATGCATGTAGGCAAGTCCTTGGCGGACCTAGGCGCTAGCATAAACGTCATGCCATATAAGTTGTATAAAAAGCTAGACCTAGGTGAACTTAGCCCTACTAGGATGAGCATTCAGCTAGCTGATCGTTCCATTGTGCATCCTAGGGGAATCATAGAGGATCTTCTTGTTAGTGTTGGTGCATTCACATATCCTGTTGATTTTGTTATTCTTGATATACATGAGGATGTGGATGTGCCTTTGATTCTAGGTAGGCCATTTCTTGCCACCGCCAAGGCACTTATTGATGTGCATGATGGTAAACTGATCCTGCGTGCTGGGAATGAACAAGCTACTTTTTCTGTGACTTAGTTTGATCACTGTGCTATGATTGCTGTCACGCCTGTACATGCCATTTCTGATCAGGTACACGAGCCTGTCGTGTATCCTTTTGCACCTCTTATTTTGCAGGACCCTCCTATCATTCCTTCGCCGCCACTCCATCCAGCCTCACCTCCGAACAAAAAGATCAAGGAGGAGTCGCGGCCTAAGCAGCAGGTTGCTAAGCCTGCACGGAAGAAGAGTGGAGACCACTATGAGCTGGTTCCACCTCCTGCACCACGACCACCCTGGCCGTCCGGGTACTCACTCGCCTGCATCTTACCGGATGGCTAGGTCGAGCTGACAGATGATGGTGGTCGCATCCGTCGGGTGCATGGCCACAACCTGAAGTTGTACCTCAAGAGCGACGTGGATCCGCTCTTAGAGGCACCTGTTCCTGCACCTCCCTGAGTATCCACCATGGGCGTCCAGCTAAAAGACGGTAAAGAAGCGCTTGTGGGGAGGCAACCCCACCACGGTTTGACTTTCTTTCTTGTGTTTTGAGTCGGATTGTAACCCGGTTTGGGTTTGGTTTGTTTTCTTTTGTTCTGGATGATGTATTATTGGGCTGACCATTGGACCTAACATACTGTGTTTGAGCAGGGTGCCATTTTCACCACTATCAATCAAGGAAGCTCTCTTAACCTAATCAGATTCTATCTATCATAGGTTAAAGCAGAAATCAAGAGAAGATGATCAGGCTTCAATTGACTCTATAAATCATGCCTCAATCGATTATAATCAAACAATATAGCATCCAAAACTTCATACAAGAAAGATCCTAACACATGGAACTAGGGTTCCTCAAAACCTAAGTGAAGGGAAGTTACTCCATAGAGAAGAGAGAGACTGCAGAAATCTGATCTAGATCTTCAATCTCCATCTCCAAGCTTGATTCCCGAGCTCCAATGACGAAGAAATCCACCAAAACAGCTCCAAGAATGTTCCCAAGTCGCTCTCTCTCTCTCTAGGGTTCGTCCCTTGGGTGTTTGGGAACCAAAACCCCGCTCTCCTTTCCTTTTGCTAAAAATCGGGTTTTAACCAGAAATTCCCAATCACACGGCCATGCCACACGGCCGTGTGACTTTCCCAGATGCACGTGTGAGGGCTCGGTGATTTCCACACGGCCACATGGCCAGGTCACACGACCGCGTGGGTTTTTAGGCGTGCCCGTGTGGCTTGCTCAGCCTCTGTTTAATGCTTCGTTTCTCCCTCGTCCGGACTCCGAATCAGTCGTCGTTTGATCCTAGACGCTCGTAGTCTCGTCCTCTTTCTTTTCATGAGAAAATTCCATGATTATTTGTCCATAATATGAGGTATAAGTCCATTATTCTTCAGGTCATGCTCGTGTTTCTTCTCCCGAATTGCCGAATGATCTCCGATTGACTTCAGACTTGCGCCTATGCTTCAATTTACATGCTAGGACCTGAAATGTGACAAAGGAACACAACCTAGCATAAAATAGGCCAAAGAAGCGATAATGCAAGCTTAAACGATCAAGAAACAAAGGGGAAAACATGTGCAAATATCGAGTCATCAATCAACATCCTCCATAGTGCTACACTACCTCCCTAGGTTCAATATCACCATAAAGACTATCAATTCAAAGCATACTGAGCAGGATATTGCAAGGAACAGTACTTGGAGCCCTCAATTCATCAAATTGGATAGTGGACTAGGCTCCAAGCACACAAACTCATCTATGCGCAGTCAAAGATAGATAAACACCCCCCACACTTAAGCAAAACATTGCTCTCAATGGAGCAGAGGGAAAGATTAGGGGAACGATGTTACCGGGAAAACAGACTGTCGGGGGATGAGAAATGGGACTAGTCATCAGGGGAGGACTGGACAGGGGACCAGTCCATAGAGCTTGAGTCATCAAAACACAATGGGTGATAGAAACCATAGTTCCAAGTAGACAAACCGTAAACAAACGAAAGGAAAACAAACCTTGGTGGGGTTGCCTCCACACAAGTGCTTTTTTATCGTCTTTTAGCTGGACTCCAATTGGGTGCATGCTCAAAGAGGTGTAGGAACAGGTGCCTCCAAGAGCGGGTCAACATCGCTCTTGAGGGACAACTTCTGATGGTGGCCATGCACACAAAGGGTGTGACCACCAGCACTCGTCAACTCGACCTGCAGTTTCCTTTTCAGCAGGCTTAGCGAGTGAATACTCGAATGG